GATACTTCCACATACAAATGTCTAACCCTGACTTTGTTATTCTCAAGAAGAAGAGTTTTGATGATCTTTTCCTATATATTCCTATGTAAAATTTTACCCCCATTGTGGCCTCACCTTACTCCTGGGGGATCAAGATATTGAATCTACACTACATGTACATGAGGCTGCTTCCATAAAAAAAATATGACAGATCATGACTTTTCTATTCCTCATAAGAAGATTTTCAAGGATTTTCCTTACATAAAAACTTTGACAGTCCATTGTTGCCCCGCCCTACCCAGGGGGTAATGATTACACTACCTGAGGATACAAACAACCATGGTTCTGCTTTTCTCGAGAAGAATATTTATAAGGATCTGTTCTACATAAAATTTTGATCGGACATTGTGGCCCCGGGCGACCCCCCGAGTTTATGATTTTAATAAACTTGAATCTACACTATATGAGGATGCTTTCACATAAGTTTCATCTTTTCTGGCGTAGTGGTTCTTAAGAAGAAGATTTTTTTGTTTTATGTTTCTATATAAAACTTTGATCAGCCATTGTGTCCCCGCCCGACACTCAGAGTTCATGAGTTTAACAAACTTGAATCTACACAATATCAGGATGTTTCGAAAAAAGTTTAATTTTTCTTGGCTCAGTGGTTCTTTAGAAGATTTTCAAAGATTTTTACTATATCTTCCTATCTAAAACTTTGATCGGCCATTGTAGCCCCTCCCTACCCCCTGGGGTCATTATTCGAACAATTAAATGTGAATCTAGCCTATGTGTGGATGTGTCCATATTATTAGATTCATCTTTCCTGGCCTACTGGTTCTTAAGAAGAAGATTTTTAAAGATATTTCTTAAATATTTCTATGTAAAAATTTGATCGGCAATTGTAGCCCCGCCCGACCCCCCGACCTAATGATTTGAATAAACTTGAATCTACACTATATGAGGATGTTTCCAGATAAGTTTTATCTTTCCCGGGCCAATGGTTATTTAGATTTTTAAGATCTTTACTTTATACTGTATATATTCCTATGTAAAACTTTGATCGGTCATTTTTGCCCCTCCCTATTCTCTTGGGTCATGATTTTAACAAACTTGAATCTATACTACATGTGGATGTTTCCATATAAATTTCATTTTTCCTGACCCGGTGATTCCTGAGAAGAGTTTTAAAGATTTTCCTGTATACTCCTATGTAAAACTTTGATCGACCAAAAAGCCCCCTTCCCCCGTAGCCCCGGGGGTCATGATTTGGACAAATTTGAACCTACTCCATGAAAATGTTTCCATATAAGGTTCATCTTTCCTGGCCCAGTGGTTCTTGAGAAGAAGATTTTTAAAAGATGCCATTACTTTCTCACTAATTTTTAATTTTCTCCCCTTTATTTAAATAAACTTGAATCCTCTTCACTCAAGGATACTTTGTGGCAAGTTTGGCTGAAATTGGTCCAGTGGTTCTTGAGAAGAGATCGAAAATGTGAACAGTTTACAGACAGACAGACAACGCCAGACAAAATGTGATCATGCAGAAAAGCTGCCTTCGGCTCAGGTGAGCTAAAAGAGGGAGCAAAGAGGTTGATTTTATATAATGTCTTTTCACATAGAACTGATTTATGAATATTGTTTGTTAATTGCCTGTACGTGTTGCTAAGGATTATCATAAATTTGCTTTTACAAACAATCCCTCGTTGTTTGTAAAGATTAAAAAGTTTAATGTTCAAATTTCTTAATTTTTGATAAGAACTTTTTGGGTTCGTTAAGTAAATTCTCCTTGTTAATTTGATAAACTCTTTAAAAGTTAAAATTGATTTTGTTATCATGAGCTAACAAATTGTTTAACAAAGAATCTCCAGGCAACGTAAAAACATATTTGGTCTCAAGTTTCATTTGATGTCTCCTGCAAAGCATTATTCAAACAAAATGAGTCAATAAGAACGTTCTTGTGACTCATTAGATAATAGCTGCATAAAGATCTCTCTATTGTAAAGGGAGTTCTCATATTATGCAACAGACAAATGATTCTTGATTATATCGGAAGATAGGTAAATAATATTTTTCAACCATTTTCAATGACAACTTGAATGTGTGCAAGGTATATGTTTGCAAACTTTATAAAGATCTTTGTCTCAAAATATAAAAAACGAAATTGCGTTACTTAGACAAAAAGGGAAATTGAAAAAAAATGACTTCAAAGAAACACAAAAGAAAAACTTACAATTTATAAACTCCATTCATTTGTGTTCGTAACGAGTTTGTTAATATATTAAATTAAATTCGACATAGACATATTATTGAATTAAAAAAAATGGATTGGAGTGCATATACAAATTCTTATTACATTTTCAACAACAACAAAAAATTACTGTTACACTCATCCCTTGACCTTTGAAGTGTTTCTGTCACCGTGAAAATATCTAAGTGATAAATTTTACTTGGAAGATAAAAAATATATCTCCTTTTTCCTTCCTTATATGCAGGGTTTTATATGTATTTAAAGAATGTTGATTCCATAGCTATTGAGAGAAAATAAACAATCCTACCATGAATAAACTGCCTTAGTTTCTATGGTTACAAATTCCAATGACATATCAACTTATGACATTGGGTTAAAAGACAATGGTAAATTAAAGGAATTACAGAATAAATTGTTGAAACAAAAACTACAGTTTTACTATCAGATTTAGAAATCATTGAACTCCTAAAATAAGTTTTTTTTAGGCTTACTGTTTTGAAGTTATCAAACAACTACGTAAAGAAAAGTTAATTTCCAACTGAAAGAGTTGAATATCCTCTTCTGTCACTTGTTAAAAGCGCGTTTACTGTTAACCTGTATTATTTGAAGGCTGCTGCTGAATTTCATCTTCAGGTATCTCATGACATCGGTAAAAGATAACTATAAGAATCAATATGATATTTAGCCCCATTACTGCCATATGGACAATCAAAGTACTGAAAGTACTGAAAAGCGGTTAGCATGCTTCCATGGAATATGACTGTACAGTGTAGAATAACACAAAATGCATACAGTGATGATATTAAAGTAAGTATGCATATCTTTGTCCAAAGTCATCAGCGAAGAAGCAGACACACTGACTTTTGTAGTACTTACAGGGATTTTTTTAGGGTCTCTCTGGGGCCGAAATTCGGCCCCATTCCCAATGCTGAAAAGTGCATGTTTTTCCCAGAATTATACCTAAAAATTCCCAAAATGAAAAAAAATATTAAGTTGCAAATTATTTAAATAAAATAATGAAAAACGGGTATTATGTTCCCTATGTGCGATGTACGAGCCATCCGAGAAGCTCTGAGAAGTCATTCGGAATACTACCGATGTTTTTATAGCGGGATCGATGTTGAAAAATTAAAGTCGGGATCGTCATTTAATAAATTAATGTACATGTATATCATGGCAGTCTCTCCAGTTTGCATCGGACGGCATTTTTCAGGCTGGGTAAAATCGCTCTTGAGTCTTATTCTTATAAACTGGTCAATCAGTACTGATTAATCACTCATCAGGAACAAAACTACTATCAACTTTTATTTTTTAACAAACTTTTTAAATAAAGGTAAAAAAGATGACAACGTATAAATATGTTCATTTACAATTTTATCATACTCTGCAGCTTTGCCATTTGTAAGCCCCTTAACTTCAACAGCCGCTTTTATTATTAGCAGTAAAGCTGACTGAAGCCAGTTTTATACAATAAAAGATAAGAAAAAAAAATTAAATAGTTGATTTTTGCTTGTTTTTTCCTTTTTATTTGTATGAATTTTTTTTTTCCCAATTTCAACCAAATATAGCTATTTTCCCAATCTTGACGGCCCCGGCCCCTGGAATCAAAGGGTAAAAAAATCCCTGACTTAACTAAATGGAAAAACCAATAACATCCCGGATTGATGTCACAAACGTATGTTTCAAAATATCAACCTGAGATTTTCAGTTTGAAAGACAGGAAGTTAAAAAATTTCTTCCTAATTGTCTCCATTGGTGGTGTCCAAAAGTGCTCAGAACGAAAAAAAAAATGTTGATGTTGCAAATTTAATTGTCTTTCATGCTCTATTGATTCTGAAATTAGGTAACTGCTACTATAGCAAACAACTCAAAAAGAAAATAAAATGATAATTCAAATTTTTTAGATTAATTTATTTGGAGTACTGTACATAGATCTTTAGCTGGCTAGTCTGAGAAAAACGGATGGACGAGCAGAGAATTTATAAATCAATTTGATTTCATAGAGCTTCAGTTTCGTAGGCTCACTGTGGGTCAGCAGGTGTGACCTGTCATTGGGGATGCTTACTTCTCCTAGGCACCGGAATTTTCAAGGATCCGTGTTTCTTTTGAGACCGATCACTGTTCATTCTGTATTTTGATACAGATACTGAGAACATCTGTTTATTAATATTATGAACTATTTCTCTCACAGGAAGAAAGACAAGTAAACAAGATTATAAAGTTTTAAGAAATGTACACTTTTGACTTTTAATACAATTAAATGTTCGAATAAGTAAATAGTATATGACAATTATTTAAAAAAGAGTCTTGCAAGCATGATATATATAAACGAATATATACTGAGTATTTGGCAAATATTTTTTAAAAATTGTGATCTTTTATAATCGTTTGTAATAATTAGACTGAGTACAGAATTTATCCCTGGATCGAAACAAAGCTTTCATTATCTTTTAAATAATTTCAATTGAGAAAAAAAGGAGAAGAAAACAAACGTTTCATTATAATGGAAGTAATCCATAACTGTACAACTTACAGAAGTATTCAGTTTTTTTTTATATAAAGGCTTTCTACATGTACTAGTATTACTTAAGTTAATTAAAGGGATGCCTGAATATTTTGGCAAGGAAAACGAAACTCGATCGAGAGATTCTCCGACGTTTTGCAGTCTGTAATAACCTTCAACCCCTTTAGCCAGTAATTAACCCGTCCTCCCTGTGCCAGTAGCATAATTCGGTCAAATATTTATTGTTCATGAGGGGTGCCTTATAATTAATCACATGCACCTGAAATTTATCAGTAAGTCTCTAAATTAGCCAAATATCGAAACATTCTACACCCTCTATATACAGTTTAAATACACAATTAAGGTGTGCAGCGCCATTTTGACCCCCTGTTCGATTCAGGCTTCAATATAACACATAAATCGGATATGCCTACTGGTTTTCGTGTAGCATTGGGTTCAAATATGATATTTCTTGCTATATATTTCTTCCTTAAGTTTAAATCCAACGCGTTGATAATGTTATCAGCTAAACTTCATGCTGACTTCGAATTTCGTCACAGGGCCCGATGGCCATCAGCTGACGTCACGGAAATTTAATCTCGACACCAAATGCTCCTATACATAAACTTTTTAAATACAACAATTATAAATTTATTTCATTGACAAACAAAATCAGAAAAAAAATAAAAACCGAAAGATTATGTTGTTTTGATAGTCTTGATTTTATTTAACATGTGTTATATGTGTTAGAAACAAATAAGGCAGAGGCTTTGTTGAAGTTTCCGTTGTCGATAGGTAGTGCCTTATGGAAGTTTCCGGTGTCGATACATGCCATAAAGCGGTTAGCGAAGCTAACCGCTTAATAAATGATGCGCCAACATGATAATCCTTTGTTTGAGTGTCTTCCTTTATTCCAGTGAAAAATATTGCCGTTGAAAGAGCGCTCAGTGTAACTGAAATTATAAAATCAAAGTGAAAACTCATTTACAGTACATTTTTTTTTAATTTAGCGCTTTGCTGAATCTTCTTTTTTATATTTTGAAGAAAAAATAAAATTGTAGATACTGCAAACTTTTATTATGGCAATTTTTTTCTTTAAACAAATTTGCTTCCATCCCGACGAGGCAATATTTTTTTTTGTTTGAAAGTACGTACTGTGCAAAATACAAAGGTAAAAAATAATTTCCAAGATGAGTTTGCTGTCCTTTATCAGATTTATGAATGCCAACATGACTATCACAAATAGGATAACAATTGAAGTCACATGGAATCCTGCTGTTGCCCAATGATATTCTATAAGAAAACAGTTTTACATATGAATACATAGGAAAATAATATTTAAAATCATCTCAAGAACAGTAAAACCATAATTAGACATATTCATATGAAACCATCCTTAGGAAGTGAATATTTAAGTATGTTCAAGTAATGACCCCGGGGGTAGGGTGGTACTACAACGGTTGATAAACTTTTTACATTGTAATGCATAGGAAACATCTTTAAAATTCTTCACAAGAACACAGAGTCATGATGCCATTAATATAAATGTCCCTTCCGTATTTAAATGTGTTCAAATCATGACTCCCAGGATAATAAAGGGGTAATAAAAGGGGATCACAGTTATACAACAGCATAGTCATTATGTAACACTATAGCTTAAAGGCATCCATAGGAAGCGTAGATTCAAATTTCTTTAAATCACCCCCTCTCCCCGAACCACTTTTTGGGAGTTGAACTATGTTCAATCTCCCATGGTTATCACGCAATTAACATGCGCAGTAATTTGTGTTGATTATATAGAGCCGAAAGCGAGGCTACTGTGTCGGCTGATTTACTCCCATGATATTCAACAGAAAACATGCATAAACATACGCCACAAATAGTTCATGTCATTTTCTCCTGAATTGATCTAATTTTCATAATGTAAGTAAATGTAATGATAAAGTAATCTTATTTTGAATATTAGATTTCGTTCAAAGTAAAACTAATTTATAAAGAACCTCAAAACTTTTTCGTAATGGAACTCATTTTTAGTGTAGCGTCGTACACTGAAAGAGATACGAACGACAACTCTACATACTGACGGCAAGCGGTAAATCTAGTTTTCCCGACGCCCGACGGTAGCAATTTCTTTTTTACCGGTGTACTGAATTTCATGAATATTTTCTTGGTTTAAATGAATTCATTAACGCATAAAAACTTTAGGAAACATGCGTATTTATTACTAAATCAGCAGTATCACTTGCCAAAAGCGGTTACTCTAGTACTCTGTTGTAAATGTTAGAACCAAAAACGGACACCGATGTTTTCGTAAAATCGCGATTAAAAACAACAAAATGAAGCATATATTTTTTTTTTAATAAAAGGAAAACCTCATTTATATACCAGATAATTTGTACGCACACAAACTCTCACATATACCACTGTTTTTATGTTTGGTCATTAAATATTAATTTTGTTTTTAACTTGGTATTGCTATTAAAAAAAGATTAAGTTCTGACGTACTCCATGTATATATTCGTGTAATTGAAATACATTAATTTATATTCACAGAGAAGTTTTATATAACAAACCTGTTAGCTCTTAAGAGGATGCTGTGTTAAAATCCATATTTTATCAACATTGATATTATTCCTGCGAAACTGAAATTTTCATAACACATGGGTAAAGGTGCCAATTAAGGAAAACTTTATTACAAATTTCAAGACTGTGAGCAGTGAATTATATAAATGACCAACCGCCTCTAATATGAAAATAATCGCAGTGTCCATGTTTTGCAATGGGAAACCCAAAATATGTGTAGGATGAAAATTAAAGTAAAGAAGGTGTTCAACGTCAATATGTAATAAAGCTTCTATGAAAATTTCGTTCAGTGGTGCAAGAAGAGTTGCGGATAAGAGATGGGTATACCTAAAGCGTAACAAACAGATGGACGGAAATCCCGATTAATGAATACCCTTCCGCTTTTCAAGCAGGGGGTATAAAAAAAAAGGACTAATGTAGGCAGGCAAGCATTATAACCCATGTATTTTTTTTGCTATTTAATGTCTCTGAATGTCTTTTTCAAGATTGTTTGCAACTCAAAAAATCTGAAACAAATGTCTGTATTTGAAATAATAATATTGTTCACTTATTTAACCTCCCGATCAAAGATTTTATTTTACACCATGTTCAACTCCCATGAGTGCTTTCAGTACTTTGATTTTTTCTTACTAACAATATTATACATATAAAACTTTTAATATTGAACTTTTTTTTTAACTTTTTCCAAGGAAAAGTTCTCATGTGAAAGATGTGGCTACTTGAGCGCTTGTCTATTCATATAGAGGCGTCATTGTGTAGCTGCAAAATTTGTTTTCGGCATTTATATATAGAAGGTTTTAGCCGTAAGGGATCCGTATTATGTCAAAACCTACTAAAAAGGAATCTCGGTTTTGAGTGTCTCACTCATGGTATTTTTCAAAATAAGAATGAATAAAGAGAGAATTTGTTTAGAAAAAACAAGTCATTTTGAATGTTTTTAAGTTTTGTGCGAGGAATTGGTGTGTGAATCACACAGCCTTGTCACGTAGGCATATTTCTATAAAAATATGCCTTCGTGCAAGTCTGTGTGATTCTCACACCTATAATTCACACTCAACTTAAAAACATTCCTTATATTTACATTTTACAAGTTTGAAATCACCAAAATTATACTCAATTTTTGAATATCTTGCTACCCTATATCATAATACTTTTACTAACGTCGCTGTAGCCTCATTGTGACGTCACGTAAGCGCACGTTTCTCCGTATATATTTTTACGCGTGAGTGTACACGAAAATGGTTTGCAAATCAATTTCACAGTTGGCTTACTAGAAAAACACAGCACATGTAAATACATGAAAATGAATATCTTTATTATAATGATGGAATATACCTTCATTCGAATTGTGTCAATGAATGCTCATACATATAATAATCTTTCTCTCGCTCAAAATAGAGCAAAAACTTCCAGTTTCGTAAGTTAATACTTTGTCGAGGTAAAATTTCTGTAAAATATTTATGATATGTGATGTCATGTTACAGATTTCTTACCGTTTTTAGATATATGGACATTATCTCTGTAGCAAATTTCACCTGTCTCCTCATTTGTTATGCTTGTTCTCCATATCCCTATATTTGTGGTGAGCTTTCCTGTGTTTGAGAAAATCCAAGTTCTTGCAATGGCCGTTACTGAGATAAACACAACAAAATTGATTAAAGCCCATAAAAGACAAATAATGTTTTTAGGGGCATTTCTTTCTCGTCTCTGATTTAAATAGAATGGTATAATGAAAACAAAAATTTCAAATATCATCTTCACTTGATATTTTGTTGTTGCGTGTTACAATGCAGTGATCTGATTTAACAAGTTTTCATCGGTGTTAAGCATGGGAAAACACCCATGCAAATTATATAACACTCAAATATTCAATCAATTGATTTTTGGATTTTAAACGTGTTCTTGCAGTCAATCCTTTAAAGCTTTACAAATGGCTGAAGAAAATTCTGGTAAGTATGTTTTATTCTATTAAAACTTTCTCCATTAAAATACAAATCTCATCTATCCGAAGTCAGAATCGTTATTTAAAACTCTTTTTTTTTAATTTTTCATAATATGAACATTTTTGAATACAAAAAAAGTAAGAGTAATAACTATTGAAAGATATATACATGTAGTAAAAACATGACATCTGATTAAGAAATGTTACGTTTTATATATTTCTGACCCTTATATGCAAGATGAATTATGTCTACATCCGAGGTATGTATGTTAACGGTAAAGATAATTATGTTTGCATGCATAAACATTATGGTGAAATGCAAGTCACCATTTTGTAAAATTTGAATTTAATGCTGGTAAACTTATTAACCAATGCCAGTAAAGGACATGGAAGCAAGATGCCATTTGATCATGTTGAATTATGTTGAGTTATGTGAACATGCAAGATAATATGATATAAATATCTACAGTGAACTTTAAATAATATCGGAGCAATTGCCCTAATAGTTACTATGAGTGATTATGGTGATTATGTCTCGTTTTGTATTTTCTATGGTCGATACAATGGCCATGTAAGAAAATAAATCTATCGTAAAGCCATTTGCTGAGGGACTTTTTTCATACTAATATTTAGACCATTATATACTCTGAACTAAATTTCTAAGTGATCACCTAACATATTTAAAGTTTTAAAAAACAAATGCATTCAATAAATAATTTCATGGTTGATGAAGCATGTTTCAATTCGATGTGGCATAAAGAACTATATGCGGCATATTGCATATATTTGCCCCAACAAAAGTTAAATTTTGAAAACTTCCTGAAATGTGCTGAATTCAATAAATTCTATGAGAAATATAAATTAACAGAAAATATTATATAAGAGGATTATTTTCGTAATTTTCAATGGCTGAAAGGACGTCACGTGATATTCCTCCTTTTGTGATAACGACGCGAAAGCGCGTCGGCGGAAAATGATAACTCACAACAGAGCGTTCGGTTGCACCGAAGTTACGTAGAACGTGACGACACAGTATGAGAAGCGTGTTTTTAACCATTGTGACTTAATGATAGCCTAGTCTGTTTAGTTAGGACTGCATTAGCGCATTCATTTTGAGTGATTATATATAATATAACAATTATGGACTTGAGTGAATGGTCATTATGTGGTTATAAGGACTCATGGCAATTGATATTGACCTCAGACACAGAAAAATGATAGCGACCTCGCAGGCTCGGTCGCTATCACTTTCTGTGTTTTCGGTCATTATCAATTGCTATGAGTCAGAATTAATAATTTTGTAGGCCTTGCAAAACTATAGAACACATGAACAAAGAGAGACAAGCCATATTCGAAAAATTCCAGTGAAAAACAAGTGATTTCTAATACTAATCTAACAAATTACTTCGTTTGACTAAAGTTTACCAAGTTATTATAATTGACATGGAACTGAGTTTCAAACATATTCCGTTATTATATCACCTTGTTAACAGATTCAGAAAATAAGTATTTTACGACACCAAATAATGGTTTTTCTTTTAATTCAAAAGTTTTTAAATATTATAGTCAAACGATAATAATTACTTAAAAATATATACAGGTAGGTCTACGCATACATGAATGTTTAATTTTGTGACCTACGAAAGATTTCTCTCTCCATACATTAAAGAAAGATAATAGACTAAAACATAATTTATCACTGTGTAAAATTTTATATCAATTAATTGTTTTCATTTTTATTTCAAATATATTTCAGTTTGTCAAAAGTTCAATGTTTTTTGTGTTTAATTAGTGCTCGAGAAAAGCTTTGTGATTGTTAATTTACTTATGATTACTTCGCAAATTTGGTAGCGATAAGAACGTAAAAAAGCATTTTGCGAATGTATTGCAACTCAGTTGAATTAAGTGATGGTCAATTTGCGCTGGTTAATTTATAACAAAGTGTAGGGGGCTAAGTCAAACATTTTTCTTATCAGTTTTGTACTGCTGAATACAATGTCATGTTTTCATAACATTATGACAAACTGAAGGATTATTTTCACCACCAAATACTCGTACCTATACCTGTAACATCGTTTTCTAGTTCAGTCAACTATGCAATACGTTAATTTTAATTTAAAATATGTTTGATTTTCAAAACAAAATGTTTATATTCTCGAAGAATTTAAAACTGAGTATTTTCAACACAAATACTTGCCAATCTGAAGCTCAACGCTTAAGAGAATCCCCGAAAAAAATTGAAAAACATTTTGTTTCTACGTCATAATATCCTTCACTTGTAAAGTGTCTATACATTATATAAAGCTCCTCTTTTAATCATTCTAATATATGATAACAAATTAAGTGCAAATTAAGTTTTTCTTTCCAAAGCAGGATCTTTTTTGCTGCTGTTGAAAAAACAAAGGAAAAAAGTTGCATCTACGCTGTTGCAAATAAGCATCATATTATTAGCAATAGTCATTGGACTCGATGATTGGTCAACAAACCAGTTTGGAAGACAAGGTCTTTGGCACCATTGCAACGACAATGGAAGTTATCTCTGTTGTTACACAATAGATTCGTTTATATCAACGATGTCGAACACAGAAAAGGTTACACCAGGTAATATTTGCTGATAAGTTATCTCATGAGACATAGAGTATGATTCTGTATATATTTCTGAAATTGTTATTCAAGCAGAAAACGTATAAGTGTGGTGATAAAGAATTATTTTAAAAAATCTCCATTAAACATAAGCAACAGTATGTTATGCTTAAGTTTTTTTTAATAAAGGTTGGATAAATGCAGTGAGAGTTCTTTTGATTTTGGCATTTTGCATCATACTGATCGTATTTATTGTGATATTAGTCGAAGCAAAAAAGAAGTTTTGCAAAAGGACTCATCCAAAAGTTGCAAGCGTTGCAATCATACTATTTTCCACCTTGTCAGGTATATAATTTTCTCATATATATTTTTTTCACTTTATTTAACCGACTAAATGAAAGAAAGATGTTTAAACTGCACAAAATATTTTAAAATCTTATTCCTTGTCATTAAAATTTAATAACATGGACAAATAAAAACACATCTAATTATATTCTGCAGCAATATTTATTATATCTGGAGCCTCTGTGTACGCAGATCATTATGATGAATATGACTGGACAGCGAACTACTCAAATAAGCGTCCCTCTTTTATTTTGTGCTGGATATCTGCTGTATTTGTATCAGCCGCAGCAGTTGTGACTGTGTTTAACACAAAAAAACATTGTAAGTTTCTTATTGAAAATTGCACAGATAATTATGTCTTTATTTCTCATTTTAAAATGAATACATTTATCTTGCAATTGAAATAAAAGGAATGTATCCGTTCGGTAAATCTTTATTTGAAGATTAATGGGCTGTGATATGCCAGCCCTTTATTTTTGGTAGTGAATATCGAAAAATATTTAACAATATGTCAATGTTAACAACCTCTAAACAAAGCCGGAATATAATTATAACAAAAGTGGTACAATTTGATAAATTATTATAAAATTCATAGCTTGTTTTCTATCAACAAAATATGTTTATATTCTTAAACCATTCTTCATGTGTTATATTGGCAAACAATACATCCAATCATACCTGAAAAATGAAAGTATGAATTTTTACATAATCAAACAAAAATGCCGATCGATATTTGAATTGTAGTTGATTAAAATATGTCCTTTGCTTAAAGCTATGTAGATGAACGAAACGTATTTATTTCCAGTTACCTCTTCCAATAATCGAGTTGGATCAGAGAGCAACCAGACACAAGTTCAAGAAATGAGCCGGGCTGAACCATCTGCACCTTTCGCAGCATCGAATGCTGGTATTGTTTTTTAAATTTATCATCAAAGACAAATAGTTCTACTTTTTAGCTCACCTGAGCCGAAGGCTCAAGTGAGCTTTTCTGATCACATTTTGTCCGTCTGTGTGTCTGTCTGTCCGTCTGTGTGTCTGTAAACTTTTCACATTTTCGACTTCTTCTCAAGGACCGCTAGGCCAATTTCGACCAAACTTGTCAAAAAGCATCCTTGGGTGAAGGGAATTCAAGTTTGTTCAAATAATGGCCGACGAAAGTTTTAAATACAATGTTGTGAGATGTGTTGTATTTGTATTGTTTCATCTTGTATATTATTAGTAACATTAAGTTTCTTGAACATTCCAGAGTGGTCATTATGTTTGGTCATTTTTTCTAGAACATTCTTGAACTTTATTCATGTCCAGAACTTTCCAGGAATATCATGTATTTACAATTTCTAGAATATTCTAGATTTATGATACTGTATAAATACCCCGTCAATTCGATGCATAAATAATTGTGGATACTTTGTCGTATAAGCACTATTGAGATATAACTGGGATATATTTTCACTGGGACATTGTGTGCAGCAACGGACACTCTGATGTATGTATTTTTGCTAAGTTTGTACTTTATGTTTCATATACTTATTATATATTAATGTTAATAAATTATTGTTAAGTTTAAATTGTGTGGTTGATCTTTGCTGGCATTTAGGGTTATTTTGACCCATAACAGAATTGGGGGCTCGTCCGGGATCAAGAATTTCTTGCACTTTTGCAGTTTATTGTCAAAATTTTGTTAATTGAACCGTTAAATTTGATTATAAGCCAGCAGAAATCAGCATGGTATTTTCGGTCACAGACTTTCTTAATTCGCCAAGTGTTCAGGTTTTTGATACATTAAAAAAGGATGACTTGATCGCGTTAGGTTTGCATCTTGGGTTAGAGGTTAAATCTTCACAGAGAAAGCAAGACATTAGAATAAAGGTTGCAAACAAACTAGTTGAAGAAAACATCTTTGGAAAATATGATCTTCCAGATTATACACTTAAATCAGAATCTTATAATATGTCAGAATTTCAGTATCAAGTAGAGTTGGAAAAAATGAGATTTGAAGAACGAGAGCGTGAACGGAAATTTGAATTAGACAAATTAGAAAGAGAAAGAGAAGAGCGAGAAAGAGAAAGAGAAGAGCGAGAAAGAGAAAGACAAGAGCGAGAAAGAGAGCGTGAAATGAACTTTGAATTAGAGAAATTAAAATTACAGAACCAACCAGGACCGTCAGTTGTCAAAACTGAATTTGACGCAGCAAAAAATATCAGATTAGTTCCAAAATTTCAAGAAAAATCTGTAGACAAATATTTTCCCCAATTTGAAAAGGTCGCAGAGAATCTTAAATGGCCACAACATGTTTGGTCAACAATGTTACAAAGTGTACTTGTTGGAAAAGCGGCTGAGGTATACTCTGCACTAGGGGTAGTTGAGAGTTCAGACTATGAGAAGGTCAAAGCAGCAATATTAAAAGCCTATGAATTAGTACCTGAAGCGTATAGACAAAAGTTCAGAAAGTATAGAAAGTTTGATAATCAAACATTTGTTGAATTTTCACGAGAGAAAGAAGATTTATTCGATCATTGGTTTAGATCTAAGAAACTTGATAAAACTTTTGATAATTTGCGCCAAGTCATCCTGGTAGAAGAGTTTAAGGAATGTGTTCCTCAAGATTTGAAAACACATTTAGAAGACAAGAATGTGAAAACTCTTGAAGAGGCAGCAGTCATATCTGATACTTATGCTCTGTCTCATAAAAAGAATTTTGTATCAAGAACTCAGACTAGCAGTAATTCTACCAATTCAGACACATATAAAAAGAGTGGTTCAGGGTCTCAGTCTTCCACAAGTTCCCAGTCTCCATCCCAAGGTGGTTTTAAGTCCGGTCCAGGACGTGTTGAAGGATCGTCTGGAATAGGGTCGCTTCCTACTTGTAGTTATTGTAAGAAAAAAGGTCATCTGATCAGTGAATGCTATAAACTTAAGAGAAAAAATGATTTTGATAAAACTCAACCACATGCTTGTGCGGCAGTTAGAGGTGATAGAGAAGCCTTAGTTTCGATTTGTTCTGACACTCCTGATGTCCAGGGTTCACAGTCCAGTTCTATTGATTCTATGGAGGATTATAAGCCCTTTATGTCTCAGGGATTTGTTTCACTCGGTGACTCTAGCGAAATAAAACCTGTCCAGATTTTGAGAGATACTGGTGCTGCACAGACGTTATTGTTAGAGGGCGTGCTTCCTTTGTCTGAGCAGACTTCTACTGGTGGGTCAGTTTTATTACAGGGTGTGGAGCTAGGCGTCATTGATGTTCCCTTGCATAGAATTAGTTTGAAGTCAGATTTAGTTACTGGACCTGTTATCGTAGGTGTTCGACCTACTTTTCCAGTTCCAGGCATTTCTTTGTTGTTAGGCAACGATTTAGCTGGTGGAAAGGTTGTACCTGATCCTATAGTTTGTGAGAAAATCACTTCCAATGTCATGTGCGATGATGAAGATGATGACATTTATCCAGCCTGTGCTGTTACTAGAGCGATGGCCAGAAGACGAGAAATGGAGGCAGACCATACTCAAGCCTTTGACGAAACGAATTCCTCTGTTGATATTGATTTGAATGACACTTTCTTATCTGACCTTGATGGCACTCAAACAAGCATGGAACCACACAATATCAAGAAGCAAGAGAAGAAAGAACTTTTACCAAAATTTGGTGGTGAGGATGATGAGTTGCATCCACTAGTTAGCCAAGGCAAGGACATCCTCAGCCGAGAACGTTTACTCTCTGAACAACATAAAGACCCAGATATCATTCAACTTAGTAAGAGGGCACTTCCACCAGAAGAGGCTACTAAAGTTGGAGAATGCTTCTATATGAAAGATGGCATCCTTATGCGAAAATGGCGACCACCTGACGCTTCCCTAGATGAAGTGTGGCGTGTTGTTCACCAGATAGTGGTCCCAGCTGCTTATCGTCGAGATGTCATGAGTTTAGCTCACGATACACCTATGGCTGGTCATTTAGGTATCAATAAGACTTATAACAGGATTTTGAGTCATTTTTATTGGCCTAAGCTAAGAAAGGATGTTTCGAAGTTTTGCAAGTCATGCCATGTCTGTCAGATGGTAGGTAAACCAAATCAGAAGATACCATCTGCTCCTCTCCAACCCATTCCAGCTTTTGAAGAACCGTTTAGTCGAGTGTTAGTAGATTGTGTAGGACCTTTGCCTAGGACTAGATCTGGAAACCAGTATTTACTTACCATTATGTGTACATCCACTCGGTTTCCTGAAGCCATACCTCTTAGGAATATAAAGGCAAAGAGCATAGTTAAGGCCCTAACCAAGTTTTTCAGTTTTGTAGGAGCACCCAAGGCAATTCAGTCGGACCAAGGCTCAAATTTTATGTCGGAGTTGTTCCAGCAAGTCATGCATGAGTTGGGTATTAGGCAGTATAGATCAACTGCTTATCATCCTGAGTCCCAGGGAGCGCTAGAACGTTTTCATCAAACCCTAAAAACAATGCTGAAGACCTATTGTTACCAGTATGAAAAAGACTGGGATGAAGGGGTTCATCTTGTACTATTTGCTGCACGAGAAGCAGTCCAGGAGTCTCTTGGGTTCAGTCCTTTTGAATTGGTGTTCGGTCATACAGTTAGAGGTCCTTTGAAATTGTTGAAGGAAAAGTGGCTGACTGAGACTAGTGATCTTAATCTTTTAGATTATGTATCTGATTTCAAAGAAAAACTTTACAATGCTTGTAAATTAGCACAAGGAAATTTGAAGAGTTCTCAGATGAAAATGAAAATGTGGTATGACAAAGATGCCAGAAATAGGGTGTTTAAGCCAGGTGATAAGGTTCTTGTATTTTTACCTATTCCTGGTCATCCTTTACAAGCCAGATTTTATGGCCCTTATGAAATTGAAAGCAAGATCAGTGATGTAAACTATGTAGTTAAGACACCAGGTCGACGTAAAGAGAAACGGGTTTGTCATATTAACATGTTAAAAGAGTATTTTGAAAGGTGTGACCGAAATTCTGTAAAACCAGTTTCCACTTTAGCCAACGCTAAGACTGTTCAAAATTGTATTGAGAGTGATACGAGTGTAGAGATGAATGAGAAAGATTGTAATCAGAGTGTCCGCTTGAAAAACTCAGAAATTTTGGCTGATTTTGATGCCAAACTTGGACATTTGAACATTCACCAAAAAGAACAAGTTAAAAACTTGATGAATGAGTACCATCAAATCTTCTCGGATGTTCCAAAGAAAACTAATGCAGCTTGTCATGATGTTATAGTTGGCGACGCTCTGCCTATCAAACAACATCCGTACCGTCTCAATCCAATAAAATTACAGTACCTAAGAAGGGAAGTGCAGTATATGTTGGACAATGACATTGTTGAACCTAGTAAAAGTAATTGGAGCTCACCGTGTATTCTTGTACCAAAACAGGACGGTTCCTACCGATTATGTACAGACTTTAGAAAGGTGAATTCTGTTACCAAAACTGATTCATATCCAATACCTAGAATTGATGACTGTATTGACAGCATTGGAAACGCCAAATTTGTCAGTAAATTTGACCTGTTGAAAGGCTACTGGCAAGTGCCGTTAACAGAAAGAGCAAAAGAAATATCTGCTTTTGCTACACCAGATGGACTTTACCAGTATAAAGTAATGCCTTTTGGCATGAAAAACGCACCGGCTACATTCCAAAGGATGATTCACTCCCTCCTTCAAGACCTCGAGGGATGCGAGGCCTACATTGATGATGTCGTCATGTACAGCGACACATGGGATGAACATCTCCGAATCATGCGTGCTTTGTTTGACATTTTAGCTAAAGCAAACTTAACTGTGAACCTTGAGAAGAGCGAATTTTGTCATGCCTATGTAGAGTATTTAGGTCATAAAGTAGGTCAAGGTTATGTTACACCCATTATGGCTAAAGTGGAAGCTATTGCAAAGTTCCCG